ATTATATTGTTTTTGTCAGGTGAAATTTGATTTTTTCTTCATTAACAATAATAATAATAATAATAATAATAATAATAATAATAATAATAATAATAATAATAATAATAATAATAATAGTAATAATAATAATAATAATAATAATAATAATAACAATAATAATAATAATAATAATAATAATAGTAATAATAATAATAATAATAATAATAATAATAATAATAATAATAGTAATAATAATAATAATAATAATAATAATAATAATAATAATAATAATAATAATAATAATAATAATAATTAATAATAATAATAATAATAATAATAATTAATAATAATAATAATAATAATAATAATGATAATAATAATAATAATAATAACAACAATAATAATAATAATAATAATAATAATAATAATGATACAATAATAAATAATAATAATAATAATAATAATAATATTAATAATAATAATAATAAATAATAATAATAATAATAATAACAAATAATAATAATAATAATAATAATAATAATAATAATGATAATAAATAATAATAATAACAATAATTATAATAATAATAATAATAATGACAATATAATAAAAATAATAACAATAATAATAATAATAATTAATAATAATAATAATAATAATAATAATAATAATAATATTAATAACGATAATAATAATAATACATAATAATAATAATAATAACAATAATAATTATAACAATAATAATAATAATGACAATAATAATTATAATAATAATAATAATAATGACAATTATAATAAAAATAATAACAATAATAATTATAAATAATAATAATAATAATAATAATAATAATAATAATAATTATAATAATAATAATATTAATAATAATAATAATACTAATAATAATAATAATAATAATAATAATAATAATAATAATAATGATAGTAATAATAATAATAATAATAATAATAATAATGATAATAATAATAATAACAATAAAATAATAATAATAATAATGACAATTATAATAAAAATAATAAATAATAATATTAATAATAATAATAATAATAATAATAATAATAATAATAATAATAATAATAATAATAATAATAATATTAATAATGATAGTAACAATAATAATAATAATAATAATAATAATAATAATAACAATAATAATTATAATAATAATAATAATAATGACAATTATAATAAAAATAATAACAATAATAATTATAATAATATCAATAATAATAATTATAATAATAATAATATAATATAATAATAATAATAATAATAATAATAATAATAATAATAATAATAATAATAATAATAATAATTATAATAATAATAATAAATAATAATAATTATAATAATAATAATAATAATAATAAATGAGGGAGAAACAGGTGATGGAAAGTACATAGAGAGAGAGAGAGAGAGAGAGAGAGAGAGAGAGAGAGAGAGAGAGAGAGAGAGAGAGAGGAAGGAGGGAGGGAGAGAGTGACGTCAGGAGAACGGTAACCTTGACGACATCTCGGCCACAATAATCACATCTGGACCTGAGAAAGATGCCTAAGTAACACACACACGGGTGGGAGAGTAAAACGCTGCTAATTTACACTATTGGTGAAATTTGTGAACCATACTCAAACACCTCAAACTCTAATTGGTCGTTAGTGATATTCCTTTGGCAGGTGATAATCTATGCTCTTATTGGCGTAGAGTGAGAGAGTAGTGTTCATGTCTTGATAATGCTCTCTCTCTCTTTTTCTCGCTCTCTCTTTCAAGGTTTCCTCAGGTAATAAGGAATTCTCGCTACCCGCCACCTAGTTACCACCCATCACTACCTGCCGCCACCCGCACCACACCACCACCCGCCATCATCACCACCCACCACCACCACCATCGCCACCAACCACCTGTCACCAGTCACCACCCACCACCACTACCATCACCTCCACACACCCACCACCACCATCATACCACACACCCACCACCACCCACCACCGCCACACACCCACCACCACCATCACCCACACACCCACCACCACCACCATCACCTCCACACCCACCACCACCCACCACCCGCCACACCCACCACCACCACCACCCACACACCCACCACCACCACCATCACCTCCACACACCCACCACCACCACCACCACACACCCACCACCACCATCACCTCCACACACCCACCACCACCACCATCACCACCACACACCCACCACCACCCACCACCCGCCACACACCCACCACCACCATCACCTCCACACACCCACCACCACCACCATCACCCACACACCCACCACCCACACCACACACCCACCACCACCATCACCTCCACACACCCACCACCACCCACCACCCGCCACCACCCCCACCACCACCCACCACCATCACCACCACACACCCACCACCACCACCATCACCACCACACACCCACCACACACCCACCACCACCCACCACCCGCCACCACCCGCCACCCAGTCCTCTACATGACAAATGAAACTGCTCTTAAATTATCACCTTAACCTTTTTCTTTCATTTGATTTGTGACACCAACCAGCAGCCACCTGTGACGCTGACCCAACCGTAACGAGGACCTTGTGACGCCCTTCCACGCTGTGACGGAGACCTTGTAAATGGTCTCTTAATTCGCACGTAACTTATGGTAGTTGTGACGCTTCTCCCAACCCGTGACGTTATGTGGTGACGGAAGGGTGTGACGTTGTTTGTGACGGGATTTTATGTACACGTGACGTAAAGCCTTTTGTCGAGGTGACGGAGACATTGTGACGTATTTCTCACGTTATTGGGGGCAAGAGTTTGTTACGTTACGTTATTTGTGACGTAAAGCGATGAAACACCTTACTTTGTGACGCTGTTGAACGTAGGAAAACGTCACACATCTATCTATCTATCTATCTTGTCATACAGATAGACAGAGTAAGACACACACACACATATACTGTATATATGAATATTAATATACATAATATACACAATAATTACCACCACTACAATACACACACAAGCATCATTCAGACTGATTTGCTTACGTCCAGTCAAAGTGTAAACAAACTCCTGGACGCTCGCATAGAAACAGTTTACGTACGAGAGAATTAATACCTCTTATCTTCAACCTTTTATCCATCTAAGACCGACAAAATACCATAGATTAATCGCTAAACACTACCAAAACGACAGTAGTTGGAGTATAAATAACTCTTAATGACAGAAACAAAAATGGTAGTAGAAGTGAGTGTTTAGATAAAGTTAATTACCTGAACCGGAATGTCTTCTTGCCGCCCCCGCCGCCATCTTTACTACAAGGGACCGGCACTATAAACATGAGACCACTTACAGCACCAGGTGTAAACATCCTACTGGCTCGCTTATACTTGAGGGACAGACAGACAGAGACAGACAGAGAGATAAACAGAGGTAGAAAGAGACAAGAGACAAACAGAGGGATAGACAGAGGCAGACAGACACGCAAAACACACCTGTTAACACACACACACACACACCCACACACACACACACACACACACACACACACACACACACACACACACACACACCTGGCGCCAAGACATGAAAAAAACACAAATTAAACCGAATTAAACAGTGAGATTAATCCTGCCGTCTCGTTAAGTGATCCAAACTACCTGAGCTGAACGACCATTAAAACACTAACTGCCGAATTGCCTCGTTAACCCTTAAGACCTTAACAACAGGATGAGGACACCTTACCCTTACTTTCCCTCACCTCACCCTTGCCCCTTGCCCTTGCCCTTCAGCTATAAACAGACAAACAAACGATCTATCAGTAGCAGCTTGGCCTCACGCCGAAATAACTGTGTGTGTGTGTGTGTGTGTGTGTGTGTGTGTGTGTGTGTGTGTGTGTGTGTGTGTGTGTGTGTGTGTGGGCCCAGGTAGTGCCTTGGCCTGCCTGCCCACCTACACTGAGTGGCACTTGTCCAGGATGGAGTGCCAAGGAGGGGGGATTGGACTTTCCTCCTCCTCCTCCTCCTCCTCCTCTCCTCCTCCTCCTCCTCCTCCTGTCCAATACTTCATTATGACATTAATAATACTAATAATAATAACGCGGTAGAATAGAAGAAAAAGTTAAAGATGTCATTATTGGCGCCAAAAATGAGGTTAATGTTTGTAAACAATGGGTGACTGAGGGACCCTGAGTGTATACCTCTCCTTCCTCTTTCCTTATTTTGTTCTTACGCTTTTATTATTGTTTGTATGTTCTTCCATTATTTGTAAGTTTCTTCTGTCACTTTAATTGTAATAATAATAATAATAAAAATAATATACAAAATTTATGTTGATAATGATAATAATATTTTGTATTTTCTTGTGTTGCCTTAAGTGAGAGAGAGAGAGAGAGAGAGAGAGAGAGAGAGAGAGAGAGAGAGAGAGAGAGAATAAACAGACATACAGCTGACAGTTATGCCTCCCACCTCCACCTCCACCTCCCCCCTCCCCACCTCCACCCCACCCTCCCCACCTCCACCCCCACCCTCCCCACCTCCACCTCCACCCTCCCCACCTCCACCCCCTCCTCCCCACCTCCACCTCCACCCTCCTTTCACCTCCACCCCTCCCTCCCTCCAGTATGAAAAGCGACATCCGGGTAAGTTATTTTGGCGGTAAGAATGACACACACACAGTTAATGTTTACCACCGTGAAATAGATATTATATCACGTATCAAAATAATTCCAGATGACATTATGAGTGTGAAAAAAGTTAGCTTTAAAAAGACATCACACCTGGTGCCTTAAAAAAGATAAAGAGAGAGAGAGAGAGAGAGAGAGAGAGAGAATGTTGCATTATATCATGTTTAGGAGAAAAAAATTAACGTCTTTGTGAAGGTAACCAGACTTGACAGGTGTGTCTGACAGGTGTATAGAGGGTAGAAGGCTTAAGACAGGTGTTTATGACAGGTGTATGGAGGTAATAAGATGTAACAGGTGTATAGAGGTTGGAAGGCCTTTAGAA